TTCTCAATATCATATTTCAAAACACCCAATTGTCAAATTGTATAGTGAGAAGACTCACCTCGTAAGTAAGTATAGTGAGAAGACTCACCTCGTAAGTAAGTAAGTAAGCCTCGTACCCCTCGAACAGACTAATCTCCGCCTACATGCCATAATCATCTCTAATTAACACTTGTAACCACAACTCTAAATAAATTAAACTAACCCCTCACTCTAACTCTTGGAATGGATAAAAGAACCTTCTACACTTCCATGGTCTCCATAATACATGTCTTAACCAACCCTAAAATCAACAGAAGTCAACACTCGAGTCAACAGTCCATGTTGACCCAACTCATCGAGTGCATCTATGCGACTCGTCGAGTTCCCTCGTTTTTCCTCAGAAATGTCGTGAAAATCCAACTTAACTCATCGAGTTGTCTCGTCGACTCGCCAAGTTACAACAAATCCAGACTCTTCGGGGAAAACCCTAACCGACTCGTCGAGTCGACTCACCAACTCGTCGAGTCGACTCACCAACTCGTCGAGTCCCTTCAGTCCATTTTCTCATACAGACGATTTCGGGCAGAAATAAGGTCTCATACTTTGGATCTCGCGTTCTAAGGTTGATTCATCACGTAAAGTTGCAAGCTTTACGTTCATGCATGGCATCTAGGGCTCAAAATGCCAAAACAAGCTCCATAAACGTTTTCATGCGTGGAAACTTGCCCAATGATTTGATAAAGCCTGGATCTTTGGGCACATGGGAACTTATTTTGTCCAGATCTGGAGTCTCAACTCCATGGCAAGCTCCAACAACTCAAGAACCACAAGATATGGGGAAAAAACCCTAAAACTCCCTAGAAAGAGATCTATCAAAAAAAATGCTCAAGGTGGTAGCTTTTTACCTCCATAATGAAGCTAGCACAGAGAAACACTTGATCGATAAGCCTCTTCTCGTTCCAAGGCTTAATGCTCTTCACTCTTCTTCCAAATGTGCACTAAAACACCCAAAGTTAGCTCCTTTCTCTCATAAATGGATACACACGATTAGGGTCTCTCACAGAGGGTTATCATGATAAGGGAGGCGAAAATGAGGGCTTAAGGTCCTTTAAGTATGACACAAACCCTAAAAATTAGAGTTTTCTCACCCAGCTCCTACTCGTCGAGTCGGGGTCCTCCGACTCGTGGAGTAGACTCTAAAATCCCGCGACCATTACACTCTCTACTCGGTGAGTTGGTGCTCCCAACTCGTCGAGTTGCCCTGCCAAAATGAATGAAGTTAATTAAACAATATACCTGAGACTCGAGATGTTACAATATATATATATATATATATATATAGATATAGATATATATATATATATATATAATATATAATCATTTTTACTTACATTATACACATATACATTATAAATTATAATTAACAATTTTTGATATATACATACATTTATACACACATATACATACATTGTACATACATTCCAAATTACATACAAATAGACATATACATAAATAACGTTTATTTCCATATATACATTATACATGAAAATTCACATATACATGCATAATATATACGTTATACATACAAATATATATACATACATAATCTTCTTTTTCCATATATATTCATTATACATACAAATACACATAGACATACTCAAAAAATATATGATACACAAAAATAAAAACAATAGATTATATAGAAACCTATGGTGGTGTTACTCCGGTGGAAAAAGGTGGTGGTGGCTGGCAACAACAACAATATTCTGGTAGAGCTGAAACTGCAACACAGAGCAATAATTCCGCAGAGAAGTTATAAAACTCTACAAAATCGACGAGTTAGGTCACTGGGTTGAAGAGAAACGGGTTGAAGAGAAAGAAAAAGAAAAAAAAGAAATAAAGGAGGAGAAAAAGAGTTTGATCACCTATCATCGATAATTTGGTTGTCACCGGTGATGAGGTACCTCGTCATTGGTAGTGGAGGTGGTCGGTTGTAGGGATGAGTTATAAAACCGAAAAACCGGACCGGAAACGGAACCGGTATAACTAGAAAATGTTTAAACGGTCCGGGTATTGGGTTCCAAATTTAGTCTTATCCGGTTTCCGGGTATTTCGGGTACATGTCCAACGGGTCCGGGTATTCCGGTTAAAAAAACTGAAACCGGTTTTTGGAACCGGATATGTAAAAAAACCGGAACCGGGTTTAATGGACCGGAACCGATTTTTGTACGTTTTATAAAGTTTTTATATAGGAAATATAAATAAATATGTAAAGAACTTATAAGTTGATGGGTATTTTATCATAATCTATATAAGTTTTAAAAAATGAATATACTAGGAATATATTTTTGGTATAGAAATTTGTATAAAAAATAGTGTCGGTTAAAGATGAAATATTATTTATACATTTTTGATCTAAAGACAATGATATCATAATCTCAATTTGCATATGAGCTCTCATAATAAATAAATAAATAAATAACATTGAAGTAATGGAAAACTCACAAATATGAAGCATGACATTCATCTAACAAAATCTCAGCCTATCTCCTATTCCCCTCTCTGGTGAACTTTATTTGTAAGAACCATAATTTATATGTAATATTAATATTTGATAAATGGTTATAAGTTTGGTTTTATATGTTAAAGAATGGTTTAATTAAAAAGAGTGATTTCGTCATTTGTAGAAAATTTTGAAAAATTGGCTTATGCAATCGTTTAAATACATTATACTGTAATAACTTTTGTAATAAGTTATGGTGTTTGATTTAAGTGAATTTGACTATATAATAGTGTATTTGATCAAAAAGGGTGAAATCGAAAGTTTTATTATTTTTAGTATCAACTTGTTTTGTTGGCTTAATGGGTTAAAGTTCTATAAGCTTTTAGCCTATTTACAGTCGATCTTTTACAAAAGGTTATATATTTATTTTGTTGTTTAATTATTCTAACTATTTTTTTTTAATTAGAACCTCTAATCATATTACAATTAACTCATTCTATGAACGTACAATATATATTACAATCACATAACTAAAAACTCATATTTCACAGTAATATTAAACCAACTTTGTTATATCACGTTACTTTTTTAAAAAAAAAATGTCGTCAATAACCTAAACGTAATTTTTTGTTTATTAATTTTTTTATAACGGTTGAAAGATTATGCGATTGAGGTAATTACAAAAAATAATAATAATAATAATAAAATAAAAAAATTCGAGTTTTCCGGTTCTAAACTCATTTTACCCGGTTCCGCCTTACCTACTTTTCTATTTCCGGGTTTTTCGGTTCTAGACCCACTTTACCCGGTACCATACCCGAAACCGGTTCCTATATACCGGTCTGGTTTCCAGTTCTAAAAAATCTCGTTAAACGGTTCCGGGTTTTCCGGGTCCGGGTCCATCCGGTCCGGGTTTGGACCCACTTTCATCCCTAGTCGGTTGTGACATTTGTTGGTGAATATTTGAGAAAATCGACGGTAGAGAGTAAATGTCGACGAATATTGTTCAATAGAAAAGGGAACGTAAAAGAGGGAAAGAATGTGCCAGGAAGGGTGTTAGCTGCGACATTTTTAGCGGTGATGGTATATCAATAATGGTGATATTGTATCAATAGCATGGTTGTAGAACTAGTTACTCGGTACCTGTTCGGCCGATTGCCAAGTAGTGAGTACTCGGGAGTACTCGGGGAGTACTCGGATTCGGTAATTCATATAGAAATATTTTTAGGGAAATTAGATATGTCAAAATCATAAGTTAAAACCATAAGTTGATTGAAATATATAACAAACTTAGATACATGTGAATACAAAAAAAAAACTAAAAAACACATAATGGTCCCACTTCGTGAATAATTACTACGAATTTAAGATATGTATGTAGTAATAATCAGATGTGTGTGTTAAATAATAAATCATTAAGTATATTATACATAGTAATCACCTAGTTGGCCGAGATTTACAACCCTGTTCACTTCAATAAGGGGTCGATCGGGGAGTACTCGGATTTTGTAACTCGCCTTGGTAAGGGGTCGAGTAGCGAGTACTCGGACGAGTAATCGGCCAACTCGGCGAGTTTTACAACATTGATCAATAGTGGTGACGTCCGTGGAGGGAATTAATCGCGTTTTTTTTAGTATTAGCGGCGAGACCTATTGTGTCGTCGTTATTGGTGCCGCCACTATTGGTCTATATGTATCGTGGTTCCGGGTACTGGATTAGGCACAAAATCGACGGATAGGTTTTAATATCATATTTTCACGCGGATTGGGTCGATGTGCTTTAGTGTCAACGCCATTAGCGTCATAACCACTATTAGCGGCGACACCAAACACGAATGTGGGGTGTCACCGGTAATGGTGGAGCAACTAAAGCTCGATAATCTTGTAGTGATCATGATGGTGAAGATGTGTTCTTTTAAAGGGAATGAGGGTTCAAGTACCGTTATGAAAAAAAAAATAGTTTTAAAATAGTATTTAGAGGATGTGCGTTAGCGGTTCCTAAAAAAAAGTTATGATTTATTTGTATTTACGTATAAATGTTTATGCTAATAGCTTAGCAATGTATGTTGTTGGTCGGTTACGCTTTCATCTGTTTTTGGAACGGAGGGAATGTCTCTAATATGTAGTATTAATGTACATGTTTTGGGTGGTTGAGAGTAGGTCCTTTTTGTTTCAGGATTTTGTGGGTGAATAGTAAATTTTAAGAATCTAGTGGGATCAAGAGTCTACGAGACACGTGATATATGTGGACCTCCTATATTTATTCAGTTCTGTGATTTTTTTAATTTATAATCGATATGAATAATTGGATTAGAGGCACCAGCTATATTTGGACCAGCATACAAGCAACTATTCTTAGCATACAAGAACAGAGAGTCAAACCGTATTTCGAAGAAATAAAGATTAATAATTTTGGGTGACTAAAATTAACTGGGTGACTAAAATTAACTTAAAGTCGACGATGCCCATTCTTTCCGACAATAGCTGGTCTCATTGATTACCTTCTACATAGTACTCATGCGTTTTTGGGTATAAGTATCCCTCTATTTAAGTTTTACTTCAACCAATTCATTAAAGAGTGCAATAATTTGAGAATGATGAACACACACAGTGGAATAGAGGAAGATGCAGTGCTAATAGGTCAGACACAAATAAGCCAGTGCCTAAACGGAGTTTTTGACGCCATGGCCTTACGCTGTTGTGTTGAGCTCCGTATTGCTGACATAATAAGCAACCACAACCGACCCACGACGTTATCAGAAATTGCCACTGGTATTGATTCTCCATCAATAAATATTGATGGGCTTGAACGACTCATGAAGTTCTTAGTCCACAAAAAAGTGTTCAATGAAATTCCTCAAGCGGAAGCAGAAGAAGGAGAAACACTTTACGCCTTGAACAACTGTTCTAAATGGTTGTTAAGCGATGCACACCTCACATTGGCACCGATTGTTATGAGTTGTACGGATCCATTCATGGTTTCGCCTCTGCATGTGCTAAGTCGAGCGATTAAAGAAGGTGGTACGGCATTTAAAATAACCCATGGAGAAGAGTTGTATAATTTTTCTTTGGGCAATCCAAAGTTCAACAGAATTTTCAACGAGGACATGGCATGCTCTGCTAAGATCAATTTGGATGCCATTATCTCAAGTTACAGGAATGGATTTCTTGGGATGAAAGGAAGTGTGGTGGATGTTGGAGGTGGTACTGGTGTTGCAATATCTGAGATTGTGAAGGCATATCCACATCTTAAGGGGATTAACTTTGATTTGCAACATGTTATTTCCACTGCGCCAACATATGATGGGGTTACGCATGTGGCTGGGGACATGTTTAAGGCCATTCCTCCTGCAGATACGATCTTTATGAAGGTAATTTGTATGCTTGGGTTATATTCGGTTGTTGATATACTCGCTCAAGTTATGATTATTTATAGGGAAAGTAATCCCACAAAGATTAATGTTATATAGACTATAAATTAATTAATAGCGATATTCTTCTTTGCATTTCAGTGGATCTTGCACAATTGGAGTGATGATGATTGCGCTAAAATACTTACGAATTGTCGAAAAGCCATACCTAAGGAAACTGGAAAAGTCATTATTGTGGAGATCGTTCAACAGCCTAAAGAAGATGATCCTTTCAGTGATACGCGCTTCATACTTGATCTATCGATGCTTGCATATTTTTCTAGTGGAAAGGAACGATCTGAAAAGGAATGGAAGAAACTTCTTGGTGATTGTGGCTTTTTCCGTTACAATATAATTAAGATGCCTTCGCTTATGTCGATTATTGAGGCCTTTCCATAATGATTATGTAATGTGCTCTTGATGAATGTTTAATGTCAATTGCAGGTACTTTTCATGGTTTTTAAAAAATATCTCCTAATAATAACTATTTAAGGTTTTAAGCTAGAGCGATTTCAAGTACACAAAAATTGTTCCAAATGTATCTGATGATTGAAACAGTTCGTAGATAGATGGGTTTTTTCTTTTTCCCTAATATTATGTCATATTGTGTTTTAATGGTGTTTGGAATATGCTTTGAAATTGATTATCAAATTATTGAATGTGAATATAAGCTCGAAAGTCAAAAGTTGATTCTCTATAATTTGCAAGTGATGTCCAGCCTAGCTGGGTTGATGCACCGGGTTTTATACCCATGTGGGTCGTGAGGTCGGGAGTTCTATTCCCTTAAACTACATCTTGTGGTGCCCCATGTGGGGAATTTTTCCCTGGAAATCCCTATGGGGGCTGGGTTTGCCCTGTAAAGGAGCTCGAATCCGGGGTGCTCGTTGAAATATTGCGAGTAGGCTACACTTAATTCGTTTGCCGTTTCCAAAAAAAAAGATTCTCTATAATTTACGTCAAAATCTAAGTCGTGTTTCAATGCAATTGGAATTAATAGAAGGGGAAGTGTCACTTTTCTCATAATTTTTGGTATTTAAAAATTCATTGACCGGGTCTACTCTAATCTTTGCGATTGGTTAATAGTTAATAGGAAAATTGACAAAAAAGTCTTAATATTTTGGGAAATTTTAATAAAGTCATAAATTTAATTTTTTGAATAAAAAATCTCAGACTTTTTAACTTTTTGAATAAAAAAGCCCAAGAAACCGGTTAATTTATTCACTTTAGCCTTTTTTGACCTGTTCAACAGGTCATAGGACAAAATCGTTTACGTATTTTTATGTATTTATATCTATTTTTACGTACTTTTGAATTTTTTTAAGTTTTTATATCTATCTGTTTACGTATTTTTATGTATTTATATATATTTTAAAGTAATTTACACATTGTTTTATATGTTATTTCTTATGAATTAAAGTATATATATATATATATATATATATATATATATATATATATACCATCTTTATATATACCAAAGGTATATAATTGAGGGTCCCACCATTTTTAAGACAGTGTCTTAAAAAACAAGAAGAAGACATTATGACCATTGATTTCAAAATAAATGGTGTAAACTATCCATGTGAAACAAAAGCAACCAATCAAATTCAATCTCTTCAAATCACATTGACTATCATACGCAGAGGACATCTTGACCCTTAATTTTATCTTACTACAATTAAAACCATTCATTAAGTTATTGATCCGTGTGAACAAAATTCAACCAATCAAACTTCATCTTAACATGAAAAAATAAAGCCACTTTCACAGTCATTTCTTTAATCATCTTAACTACAAGTCTCTCCCCCACTTATAACTCCCCAGATGTTTCTAATGCCTCACTTCAAATCAATAGCACCATTCTGCAGTTTTGTTGAAATCTGATACCATTCCTTCTCTTTGTTTCATGTCGTGAACGCTGTATATAGATTCAACTTGTATTTGTTTCATCAACAGCTCTTTTCTGTAAAAAAAAATACAAAATTTGTGATTTTTGTAGTTTGTATTGTAAGAGAGTGGTTATTGTTGTTACTTAAAGTGTTCATAATAATGTATCTTTGCAGATTTGTATCAAGTATAAACATATATAAAATGCACAATGTAAATTATGTTTGATATGTGTGTAAATTCAATTTTGTAAAAGAATATATCCAGCATTTGTGTTTGGATTTTTTCCCTTCGAAGGTTTTTAGAATCAATTTCATACATGAGAATCTGGGATAATCTTCCATGTCTATTCATAATGAAAAAATATTGCAAAAGTAGTACTTATGTATCTTTATTTTTGCAATGTTGTAATAGAGGTAAATCAGGGATGTAAGAAGACTGTTTTTATTATTAACTAAATCATTAAATCACAAGCAAGTTATAAACTTTGAGATATAGAATACATTAAAAACAAAGTATATAGGAACGAAACAAAGACACATGGAAATTAGTTCTTATTGTTTTATGGAAGCCTTTACAGCCCAATCTTACATACAAAATCGAAACATCCATGTTTATAGATTCTTATAATCGAACCTTGATTACTAAATAATGAAACTTTATAAGAAAGAGTATTTAGAAGAGAGCATGATACATTTAAAAACCCAGTTTTGATCACAAACAGAAAAGAAATAGATTTATTCCTTTTTAAAAATACAAAACACAAGTGAATTTTCTAATTACTAACACAAATACATACGGAAATCGGTACCACAAACTGAAACTGCTACAAATTCTAAAACAAGAACACAGAGTTTCTTACATGGTAGATGCTGCTTCGGGGATACTTGTTGGAGATGGTTAGACTGTCGTCGATTGTTGCCTAAGTCATCAATAGTGTTGCGGAAAAAGTAGTCGGTGGTTGCAGCCCGACAGCTGGTGGTGTAACTTCAGTTGCTGCTGGGTGGCGGATATTAATGTCGAAGACAAGATTTGAGATGCAAGATTTTAGGGCTAATGTGTAGGGGAGGTTGATGATGACGGTAATGGACAAGGATCAGGTGGCGGCGGCGTCGTGTATGGGGCCAAGGACATGGTAGCGGAGTCATTGCCATAAAGATGTACCAGTCGAGGCGGCTGTGTAAAGAGGACGAAATTAATTAGGTTTAGGGTTGTCATGTTCTAAATATATATGTTGTATATATGCTTAATGTTATATGTGGCCCAAAGCTCATATATATTTTTTGTTTTATAGTAGAAACAACATATTTTATTTTAAATTAATTATGTTATAATTGTATATAAAATATTAAATATCTAATTAATTAGGTTAACCATTTCATCGTTTCTAATAACTTTTATATTTTTTAAATGTATTACATAAACAATAAATATAAGCTATAAACTTGTAAATAAGTGTAGATTTTGAGATAAGTTTGTTGTTTACCAAATAAAAAATATAACCTATACAATTTCAAATATATTTGTCTAAAATTTATAAAGTATAATAGTTTTTTTATTTAGTAATACTTAACTATTATTTATATTACATATAAATACACAAACAAGTATTATAATTAAATGTGCGTGAGGACGATTATTTTTAAATATACTTAAGTCTCCCTAATGAGTGTCATTTTGCACTATTACTCCCCTAACACCAAAATTCAAAACCACAAACCTTAAAAACTGAAACAAAACAGTTTTTTCAAAACAAAATTTTTGTTGAACAACAAATATATTCACCATCCACTCCTCCACTATTTACATGATACTTTTATTTCTAATAGAGATTTTCATTGCATATGCCTAGACACACAACTAAAAAACATTATGAAAACCAACAATCGTTTCAAAAAAAAAATGGCTCCCCAAATCTATTGGAATATACACTTTTACATGATGTTGCATTATGTTAATTTACAAAATCAATTCTGTGTACTTTTCTTTTTAATCTAAAACAACGAGGTATATTATGGACAATAATGTGGTTGAAATGAAACTAATAGCCGAAACAAAACTGTATAACAATAAAAAGACCTATAAACCCACATGCAACAATTACTAGAAAGCAAACTATTTGACGCTTAACGAAATGAAAACCAATCGAGCTTGAAAACTACTCGTATAAACAAAATTAATAGTCGTCGCCGCATCGCGCGAGTAGGCTACTAGTATATATATATATATATATATATATATATATATATATATATATATATATATATATATATATATATATAAAGTTTAAAAGGCTTAGGACTGATAACTCACTTTGGTTCCTTTTCCTTGTTTGGATGTGAGATTATAAGTAACGGTTATTTATCCAAATGTCATTTAAATTTTACTTATATATATTTGTATATGTAAACCAATATAAAAGTTAATTCATTCAGTTCAAATACCATTTGTAACATGTTGAGCAAGGGGTTACATTCATAAATAGTTAATATCAATTCAGAAAGTAAATATAAATTATAATCGGTATAATTTATGATTCATAGAACATTAAATCACGATTCAAGTATACTAAAATACACTGTTTTACAAGAACAAAGGTTTGATTCAAAACTAATCAAGAATATACATCTTTCAAATACTAATTCAAGGGCATACTATCAATTATTCATTTCAGAATGATTGGGTTTTCATAACTATTATACATGTAACGTCTATATGCTTTTTATGAGTCATTTGATTCAGGTTGTTTAGTTCATGTAAACAACATAGTTAAAGTCCTGACATTATAACCAGAATCTCCAGTCGGGGATCGAAACAATGTGTGTATAGATCTATATTGGGATTGACAACCCCGCACTCAGACTGCTAGCTACAGTCAGGCATACACGCCTACGAGTGACAGTTGTTATCAACAGTTTTAAACGCCTTCAAAGCGTTGGGTCAGGCCATCTAGTCTCAGTATGGTTCTCATAACTCATTTAAAAGATATTAACAATACGTTCGTGTATAATTAACTGAACGTAAGTACATTTTCAAAGTACCAGTTTACCATGATACAGTTTTTAAAGTATTACATCTCAGTATTCAATAAACAATTGGTTAAGCCAGGCACACTCTCACTTATATAGTTTATACAAAAGGAATTCAATAACAGAACATTGGTTTACGAATAGAACGATTTTATGTGATTAAAACTACTTTTCATATACAATAGAAAATATAGGATTTTCTGGAACAGTTTACATATTTAAGAAACAAAAAACATACTTTCAAACATAAATACTTATGCACTCACTCAACTTTATGTTCATACTCTCTTTTCAAATTACTTGTATTCTCAGGGAATCAGTAAACATGTACTCCCCGAGCTTTTGAGAAGATGGAGCTATTTTGAGTCATGTCTTCTTCTTTTGTATAACTATTTTGGTTTCAATATACAATGATTAAACACATGTAAATATTTATACTTTTTTTTAAATATAATGGTTGTTTGTACTTTGATTACTATGATGCATGTGTTGTGATACTATAAATAAAGTCCTCCACCCCTTGACGATTCCACTGTCTGGTTTGGGGG